CTGGGTAAGGAGATTCCAAACACGGTGTTACATACCTACAGTGGTATTTGTCATGTTACAGACAGTGATGTTAGCAGGGTAAGGAGATTCCAAACACGGTGTTACATACCTACAGTGGTATTTGTCATGTTACAGACAGTGATGTTAGCAGGGTAAGGAGATTCCAAACACGGTGTTACATACCTACAGTGGTATTTGTCATGTTACAGACAGTGATGTTAGCAGGGTAAGGAGATTCCAAAACGGTGTTACATACCTACAGTGGTATTTGTCATGTTACAGACAGTGATGTTAGCAGGGTAAGGAGATTCCAAACACGGTGTTACATACCTTACAGTGGTATTTGTCATGTTACAGACAGCGATGTTAGCAGGGTAAGGAGATTCAAACACGGTGTTACATACCTACAGTGGTATTTGGTCATGTTACAGACAGTGATGTTAGCAGGGTAAGGAGATTCCAAACACGGTGTTACATACCCTACAGTGGTATTTGTCATGTGACGGACAGTGATGTTAGCAGGGTAAGGAGATTCCAAACCCGGTGTTACATACCTACAGTGGTATTTGTCATGTTGCAATACAGCGATGTTAGCAGGGTAAGGAGATTCCAAACACGGTGTTACATACCTACAGTGGTATTTGTCATGTTACAAACATTGATGTTATCTGGGTAAGGAGATTCCAAACACGGTGTTACATACCTACAGTGGTATTTGTCATGTTACAAACATTGATGTTAGCAGGGTAAGGAGATTCCAAACACGGCGTTAGATACCTACAGTGGTATTTGTCATGTTACAGATAGTGATGTTAGCAGGGTAAGGAGATTCCAAACACGGTGTTACATACCTACAGTGGTATGTGTCATGTTACAAACATTGATGTTAGCTGGTGGGTAAGGAGATTCCAAACACGGTGTTACATACCTACAGTGGTATTTGTCATGTTACAGACAGTGATGTTAGCAGGGTAAGGAGATTCCAAACACGGTGTTACATACCTACAGTGGTATTTGTCATGTTACAGACAGTGATGTTAGCTGGGTAAGGAGATTCCAAACACGGTGTTACATACCTACAGTGGTATTTGTCATGTTACAAACATTGATGTTAGCTGGGTAAGGAGATTCCAAACACGGCGTTACATACCTACAGTGGTATTTGTCATGTTACAGACAGTGATGTTAGCAGGGTAAGGAGATTCCAAACACGGTGTTACATACCTACAGTCGTATTTGTCATGTTACAGACAGTGATGTTAGCAGGGTAAGGAGATTCCAAACACGGTGTTACATACCTACAGTGGTATTTGTCATGTTACAGACAGTGATGTTAGCAGGGTAAGGAGATTCCAAACACGGTGTTACATACCTACAGTGGTATTTGTCATGTTACAGACAGTGATGTTAGCTGGGTAAGGAGATTCCAAACACGGTGTTACATACCTACAGTGGTATTTGTCATGTTACAGACAGTGATGTTAGCAGGGTAAGGGAGATTCCAAACACGGTGTTACATACCTACAGTGGTATTTGTCATGTTACAGACAGCGATGTTAGCAGGGTAAGGAGATTCCAAACGGTGGTGTTACATACCTACAGTGGTATTTGTCATGTTACAGACAGTGATGTTAGCAGGGTAAGGAGATTCCAAACACGGTGTTACATACCTACAGTGGTATTTGTCATGTTACAGACAGTGATGTTAGCAGGGTAAGGAGATTCCAAACACGGTGTTACATACCTACAGTGGTATGTGTCATGTGACAAACATTGATGTTAGCTGGGTAAGGAGATTCCAAACACGGTGTTACATACCTACAGTGGTATGTGTCATGTTACAAACATTGATGTTAGCAGGGTAAGGAGATTCCAAACACGGTGTTACATACCTACAGTGGTATTTGTCATGTTACAGACAGTGATGTTAGCTGGGTAACGAGATTCCAAACACGATGTTACATACCTACAGTGGTATTTGTCATGTTACAGACAGTGATGTTAGCAGGGTAAGGAGATTCCAAACACGGTGTTACATACCTACAGTCGTATTTGTTATGTTACAGACAGTGATGTTAGCAGGGTAAGGAGATTCCAAACACGGTGTTACATACCTACAGTGGTATTTGTCATGTTACAGACAGTGATGTTAGCTGGGTAAGGAGATTCCAAACACGGTGTTACATACCTACAGTGGTATTTGTCATGTTACAGACAGTGATGTTAGCAGGGTAAGGAGATTCCAAACACGGTGTTACATACCTACAGTGGTATTTGTCATGTTACAGACAGTGATGTTAGCAGGGTGGGAGATTCCAAACACGGTGTTACATACCTACAGTGGTATTTGTCATGTTACAGACAGCGATGTTAGCAGGGTGCGGAGATTCCAAACACGGTGTTACATACCTGTGGTATTTGGTCATGTTACAGATAGTGATGTTAGCAGGGTAAGGAGATTCCAAACACGGTGTTACATACCTACAGTGGTATTTGTCATGTTACAAACATTGATGTTAGCAGGGTAAGGAGATTCCAAACACGGTGTTACATACCTACAGTGGTATTTGTCATGTTACAGACAGTGATGTTAGCAGGGTAAGGAGATTCCAAACACGGTGTTACATACCTACAGTGGTATTTGTCATGTTACAGACAGCGATGTTAGCAGGGTAAGGAGATTCCAAACACGGTGTTACATACCTACAGTGGTATTTGTCATGTTACAGACAGTGATGTTAGCAGGGTAAGGAGATTCCAAACACGGTGTTACATACCTACAGTGGTATTTGTCATGTGACGGACAGTGATGTTAGCAGGGTAAGGAGATTCCAAACCCGGTGTTACATACCTACAGTGGTATTTGTCATGTTACAGACAGTGATGTTAGCAGGGTAAGGAGATTCCAAACACGGTGTTACATACCTACAGTGGTATTTGTCATGTTACAAACATTGATGTTAGCTGGGTAAGGAGATTCCAAACACGGTGTTACATACCTACAGTGGTATTTGTCATGTTACAAACAGTGATGTTAGCAGGGTAAGGAGATTCCAAACACGGCGTTAGATACCTACAGTGGTATTTGTCATGTTACAGACAGTGATGTTAGCAGGGTAAGGAGATTCCAAACACGGTGTTACATACCTACAGTGGTATGTGTCATGTTACAGAACAGTGATGTTAGCTGGGTAAGGAGATTCCAAACACGGTGTTACATACCTACAGTGGTATTTGTCATGTTACAGACAGTGATGTTAGCAGGGTAAGGAGATTCCAAACACGGTGTTACATACCTACAGTGGTATTTGTCATGTTACAGACAGTGATGTTAGCAGGGTAAGGAGATTCCAAACACGGTGTTACATACCTACAGTGGTATTTGTCATGTTACAAACAGTGATGTTAGCTGGAGTAAGGAGATTCCAAACACGGCGTTACATACCTACAGTGGTATTTGTCATGTTACAGACAGTGATGTTAGCAGGGTAAGGAGATTCCAAACACGGTGTTACATACCTACAGTCGTATTTGTCATGTTACAGACAGTGATGTTAGCAGGGTAAGGAGATTCCAAACACGGTGTTACATACCTACAGTGGTATTTGTCATGTTACAGACAGTGATGTTAGCAGGGTAAGGAGATTCCAAACACGGTGTTACATACCTACAGTGGTATTTGTCATGTTACAGACAGTGATGTTAGCTGGGTAAGGAGATTCCAAACACGGTGTTACATACCTACAGTGGTATTTGTCATGTTACAGATAGTGATGTTAGCAGGGTAAGGAGATTCCAAACACGGTGTTACATACCTACAGTGGTATTTGTCATGTTACAGACAGCGATGTTAGCAGGGTAAGGAGATTCCAAAAACGGTGTTACATACCTACAGTGGTATTTGTCATGTTACAGACAGTGATGTTAGCAGGGTAAGGAGATTCCAAACACGGTGTTACATACCTACAGTGGTATTTGTCATGTTACAGACAGTGATGTTAGCAGGGTAAGGAGATTCCAAACACGGTGTTACATACCTACAGTGGTATTTGTCATGTGACAGACAGTGATGTTAGCTGGGTAAGGAGATTCCAAACACGGTGTTACATACCTACAGTGGTATGTGTCATGTTACAAACATTGATGTTAGCTGGGGTAAGGAGATTCCAAACACGGTGTTACATACCTACAGTGGTATTTGTCATGTTACAGACAGTGATGTTAGCTGGGTAAGGAGATTCCAAACACGGTGTTACATACCTACAGTGGTATTTGTTATGTTACAGACAGTGATGTTAGCAGGGTAAGGAGATTCCAAACACGGTGTTACATACCTACAGTCGCATTTGTTATGTTACAGACAGTGATGTTAGCAGGGTAAGGAGATTCCAAACACGGTGTTACATACCTACAGTGGTATTTGTCATGTTACAGATAGTGATGTTAGCTGGGTAAGGAGATTCCAAACACGGTGTTACATACCTACAGTGGTATTTGTCATGTTACAGACAGTGATGTTAGCAGGGTAAGGAGATTCCAAACACGGTGTTACATACCTACAGTGGTATTTGTCATGTTACAGACAGTGATGTTAGCAGGGTAAGGAGATTCCAAACACGGTGTTACATACCTACAGTGGTATTTGTCATGTTACAGACAGCGATGTTAGCAGGGTAAGGAGATTCCAAACACGGTGTTACATACCTACAGTGGTATTTGTCATGTTACAGACAGTGATGTTAGCAGGGTAAGGAGATTCCAAACACGGTGTTACATACCTACAGTGGTATTTGTCATGTTACAGACAGTGATGTTAGCTGGGTAAGGAGATTCCAAACACGGTGTTACATACCTACAGTGGTATTTGTCATGTTACAGACAGTGATGTTAGCAGGGTAAGGAGATTCCAAACACGGTGTTACATACCTACAGTGGTATTTGTTATGTTACAGACAGTGATGTTAGCAGGGTAAGGAGATTCCAAACACGGTGTTACATACCTACAGTGGTATTTGTCATGTTACAGACAGTGATGTTAGCTGGGACGTATAAACCTGGCATGGCGCAATGGCAGTACTTAATGACCAGGTTTTGGTAGCAGGACTTCAGACAGGACAGCTTCGAGTAGTTCGTGTGCAGGTTCGTGTTGTAGAAATCTTCAACCAAGCCCATCTCTGCACATACTCCATGTGGTGGGGTCAGGCGGGTGATGTCAACCTGGGGAAGGTATGTGGACATATATGAGTGAGTGAGTGAGTGAGTGAGTTTAGTTTTACGTCGCACTCAGCAATATTCCAGCTATATGGCGGCGGTCTCTAAATAATCGAATGTTGACAAGACAATATAGTGATTAACATCGTGAGTATCGATCTACGCAATTGGGTCACGCTGACATGTGTCAACCAAGTCAGCGAGCCTGACCACCCGTTAGTCGCCTCTTACGAGGAGCATGGGTTACTGAAGATCAATTCTAACCCTAATAACGATATTAGGTCGTTATCGCTGTTAGCTACGAACCTGGGCAATTGCATTGATTTTTATCATTAGGTTCATCTGTATATATTTCAGTTTTTAACGCAATGTTTGAATTCGTAACATTCAGAGTATACTTTAAATAGATTCTGGGATTGAAATTTAACATCATCAGGTGAACTATTATACATCATCAGGGTGAATTATTAAACATTATCGGGGTGAATTATTAAACATCATCAGGGTGAATTATTAAACATCATCAGTCCGAATTATTAAACATTATCGGGGTGAATTATTAAACATTATCAATGTGAATTATTAAACATTATCAGTGTGGATTATTAAACATTATCGAGGTGAATCTGGAATTCGAATACATGATCAGTGGATCATAGCGCGGCTAATCAACACAACTCTGCACTGATGATTGCGACTGGGGAGCCTTCCTAAAGTGCCAGGACAACATACAAACATACAAGGAATATGTATGAAACACAGTTCTTACCTTGCGTAATCCTACTGAGGTAGACACACCCGGGGCTATGGAGATTCCCTCGTCCTCGGGGAACGGCATGGAATTGCGAGGGTGGATGAGGACCCTAGCTCCAGCTGATGGGGAGAGCGCGGCGATGTACTCGTCCTGGTCCAGGTACAGCTCCAGGGAGAGACCTGGATGTGCAGGACCGTATAGGCACGTCCGGTAAATTTCATACAGTTATACAGTGTTGCTGTCATTCAATGGTGGTTTATGATTCAATTTACTCACACAAAGTGAAAGTTAAGTCCTAAATTCATAAAGTTAGGGCTAAACGCTGTATATACTGTGATGCTGTCATTCTATGGTGGTTTATGATTCAATGAACTCACACAAAGTGAAAGTTAAGTCCTAAATTCATGTAGTTAGGGCTAAACACTGTATACACAGTAATGCTGTCATTCTATGATGGTTTATGATTCAATGAACTCACACAAAGTGAAAGTTAAGACCTTAATTCATGTAGTTAGGGCCAAACACTGTATACACAGTAATGCTGTCATTCTATGATGGTTTATGATTCAATGAACTCACACAAAGTGAAAGTTAAGACCTTAATTCATGTAGTTAGGGCTAAACGCTGTATATACTGTGATGCTGTCATTCTATGATGGTTTATGATTCAATGAACTCACACAAAGTGAAAGTTAAGTCCTAAATTCACACAGTTAGGGCTAAACACTGTATATACAGTGTTGCTGTCATTCTATGATGTTTCTGATTCAATGAACTCACACAAAGTGAAAATTAAGTCCTAAATTCATAAAGTTAGGGCTAAACACTGTATACACAGTGATGCTGTTATTCTATGGTGGTTAATGATTCAATTAACTCACACAAAGTGAAAGTTAAGTCCTAAATTCATAAAGTGAGGGCTAAACACTGTATAGACAGTGTTTCTGATTCTATGATGGTTTATTATTTAATTAACTAACACAGTGAAAGTTGAGACCTAAATTAATAAAGTTAGGACTAAACACTGTATATACAGTGATTCTGTCATTCTATCATGGTTTATGATTCAATTAACTAACACAGTGAAAGTTGAGTCCTAAATGTAGGTAGGTGTTGAGGTAAGTTAGGGCTAAACGTTGTTTGTACAGCATTGTCGTCATTCTAGGACGGCTCTTGATTCAGTGAACTCACACAAAGTGAACGTTAATTCTTTAATGTAAATACGTGCTGACCTTTCATAGTTAGGGTTAGACATTGTATATATTGTGTGGCCGTCATTCTATGATGGTTTATGATCCAATGAACTCACACAGTGAAAGTTAATTCTTAAATGTATATGCATACGTGTGTGTGTGTGTGTGTGCGTGCGTGCGTGTGCGCGTGTGTGTAGGCATAAATGTATTTATTTGTGTATGGACGTATGGAATCTGCTGACGTCGTTATGACGCACAAGCACCATACTTTATTTGATTAATACACAAATGTAACAGAGAGACGTTGAGCCTGAAATCATTGCAAGCAGTGCTAAACGCTTGGTCATTGTGTTAATTGTTGAGACAGATGAAGTGAACGCAATTATCATTCGGAGTATTCAGTTGATGTTTACGATCGTGATACCACCGCTATCGACACTAAATACCTGACATTACAACCAACCCACATTCTTGTAATGTATGGTAACCATAGTAACATATAAACGCATCTACGCCTCAATGCCCATGTGAGCTTGGCGACAGTTATCGCCCTTTGTTAAATTACAACGATTGTATTGTACACGAGTGTTTGTGAATACGTTTGCACATGAATTACTCTTTCTTTTAATTACTGAATAACCCCTCTCTCGTGGGACAGCTGCTAATAGAGTCAGCCAGTTAATACAACTTGTGGTAAGGGTGACTTTGAGGTGATTTATATCCACTGGAGCGTGAAGGAATCGTTAAGCAATCTGAATCATGCTCATAGATGTTGATGTGGCTGGGATGAATGAAGTGGCATATTTTGAGGAAACAACTCAGTGGTGAACATATTAAACAAAGGTTATATTATGGAAAGGTAAATATCATTAGTAGTCGCGTCTATATGGTCTTCTACCAGAAGCATTGACATGTGAAGGTGATGGGTTTATGTAAAGGAGAGAATACAAACATACTCTGCCTCAAACATAAAGAAGTCATGTTTCTGTTTAATTGGGTCATTAACATACAAATTGAAGCTCAGAGAATACACAGCTACGAATCACAAAATGATTGTAGGAGACATTAACACTGAGCCCTGCTGTGGTGCAAAGCGTTTTCCATTCTGTTTTCTTGGCATACAATCTCTGCACTTAATCACAGCTGCTGCTACTGCAGTAACTACCACCACCACCACTACCACTACCACTACCACTACCACTACTACTACTGACCCGTAAAGGTCCGGGTTAGAATTGATCTCCAGTAACCCATGCGACTAACGGGATCATGTGGTCAGGCTCGCTGGCTTGGTTACAGATATCATCAGTTCCCAATTGCACAGATCAATGCTCATGCTGTTGATCACTGGATTGTGTGGCCCAGACTCGATTATTTACAGACCGCCGCCAAATAGCTGGAACATTGCTGTGTGCGGCGTAAAACTAATCTCACTCACTCATTATTACTACTACTACTACTACTACTACTACTACTGCTGCTGCTGCTGCTGCTGCTGCTACTACTACTACTACTACTACTACTACTACCTTAGCAACCCATGCTTGTCGACTAACGGGATAAGTTGTTGGTCAGGCTCGCTAACCTGGTTGGTTCATATCATTGTATCCCAACTGCAGAGATCGATGCGACAGACATCAGTCACAGGATTGTCTGATCGAGACTCGATTATTTGCAGACCGCCGCCATATAGTAACAATATTGCTGAGTGTGGCGTTGTTGAAGAACAACCAAACAAGTAAGACTACTTAACCGACAAACATTTTACTACAACATCGACTACACAAAGGAACAACCAACAACCATGACAACCACGACTGCCACTACTATTACCACGACCACAAGTCCAATTAAAGAGTAATATACGTATCTGTAATAAATAAGGCTAAAATCAACTTTTATCTTCTATAGTGTAAATAATTATCGAGATTGATCTTGTGATGATAGTTACTGATTTCAACCATTCCACTACTGAAGAACACATTGAAAATCCAATCTTTCACAGACACTCAGCAGAATCGGTTTCATTATTGGGAGCATTGTCATAGTTTTTCAAGACCCGTACTACATCCTTAACATTTATTATAGATAACACCAGGTCATTAGCCTAGTTGAATGGATTATTTACGTGTTCCATATTGTTTGCGTATCTTTTTCCATTTATCGCTGACAACAAAGGAATAGCTGTAGTACTTAAGGATTATCTGGCCTAATTAGTGACCCAAGTGTCAATCAACAATATACCTAGATTTGTGTATTATGTGGTATTCTGTCAAACCTATTTCAATTCCCTAAAAATATTAATTGTGTGTGCAAGGGTTATTTGGTGGTTAATGAACCATATCAACTCATCGATATTCATGAAGCTCGACTTAAACGTCGTTGCCAAATTACCGTGGTTTCAAGTTGGCAATCCGTTCAGATTGTTTAAGAAGTCCAATTTTTATGCATAAAGACACAGATCGGCACAAGGGTAGCACACTTGGTGCCCATGGGGAAACATACGTCTTGCTCTAATGTTTACCCCACAATTGTACATAGATGTTATCAAAGGAAAGTCAGTCACTCGACATTAGGGTTTCTCAGTACACTTCAGATTGCTTTTTCTTTGATTCTTGGCAAACTGCCGAGCCTTTGAAGACAGATAGGTAACTGGGTGTGTGATCACCGACGTTTTGTAACAGTTTTAGAATCAAATCTTTTGATGCAACTGAACTTCATTCTTTCTGAGATTGCTAAATGATCCGGGATAGAATTGATCTTCAGTAACCTATGCTTGTCGTAAAAGGCGTCTAACGGGATCGGGTGGTCAGGCTCGCTGACTCGTACATGTCATTGTATCCCAAATACAGTAGATTGATGCTCATGTTGTTGATCACTGAATTGTCCGGTCCAGACTCGATTATTTACTGACCGTCGCTATATAGCCAATTCTAACCCGGATCTTCGCGGATCCCAAAACTAACTAATAATGCATAATACTAATTAAATGACAGGTGTATATTATCAAATGTAAGATATTATGAAATTGTATGTATGTTGTATGAATCATATGTTGACAATATGACTGACAGCGCGAGCAAGAGTTGCCTACATTTCGGCCAAAAGCGTTCGATCGTCACGCCGAAGACCCGGGTTCGATTCCTCACATGGGTACAATGTGTGAAGCCCATTTCTGGTGTCCCCGCCGTGATATTGCTGGAATGTTGCTAAAATTGGCGTAAATCTAAACTCACTCACTCACTAAGCATTGCTCGTTTATCCACTCGTACTACAAACACGGGAAAGGAGTCTACGAGGGACAGTCAAAAAGTAGTGGGCCTGACCTAGTAAATGATACAAATGCAGCTGTTTTTATGTTTTATTTTTCTACATATTATCTGTCAACCTCAAGCAAATTGGTTTTGCTACGTTCCAGCCTTACGATCCCCATTTTGTTTGAAATTTTATCTTGGTACCCCCCAAAAGCGCAAAATCTGCAATAAATGCACCACAAACTTCAGGTAACAAAATATGCAAGAAACATTTTGTGTGTTTGAGATAGGTAGACGTCCGCTAGAATCAAACTTAGATATTAAAGTGGATAACAAAGCAATTTGAAAGTACAATCGCTTGTTAAAGTGATTCCCCTGTCATGTTTACTGAAACAGCTTGTTTTGGAGACACTACCCACCCCTGTTCAGACGGCGAATTCATAAGGACATAACTTATTCTAATGTTTTCACTTTTTCACACATGATGCTAAAGGTTCAAAGTAAATACTGAATGGTCACACAAGTGTCAACTCTCAGTATATTGTAAACAGGGCCAGCTTGAATATCTGGACACAATGTTTTTGAAAGACTAAAACGGGTGTGTCCTTAAAAAAACAGCCCTGTCTAAACATAAATCAAGCAATCCAAATCTTTAAATGTTGATTATGACGGGAAGTCATTCAATACTATACTAACATATTTTATCTGACATTATCTGAGGGCATATCATTATCCAAGAAGTACTAAATGACGGATCGTTTTTCCTTTTCTGCATTTTTTCTAGGAATATTATACCCCAATGTGTTGTGATGACTAATATCTCGTTAATCACATTACCCACATATGTGAATTTTTTTTATACGACTTTGCTAATGATTCCTACAAACTAAAATGGAAGCTTTTCAAACATTGGACATCGGGAATATAGTTAGGCAACGTACTTTTTGACCGACCCTCGTATTTGTGGTGGACGGAATGAGTACAAGGCACGGTGTCCAAAGTTATGTACTTACCGTGACTGGGGCCAGTAAATCTTGACACGACCTTCTTTCCGTTTCCCTCAGCATTGAACGTGTAACAGTTGCCATATTTGTGACTGACGAAGGTGGTGAAGTTCCTGAAAATGATATCAGCACATCTATATACAATGTACAGCATTTATGAGGTCATGTATCCAGTATATAACATTTATTATTATGATGGTATTTTCGAAGTTTGTTATAATTATAACTGCACCTATCGAACATGCAACTGAAGTGAATTAAATAGTTATTCAGCCATGGTTGAATATGAAAAAATATCGTGAAAAAATCTAAACTAGATAAATATATTTGTGTCTAAGCAAAACAAGTCGACCGTATCATCATACAGGGGACCTTTTTCTTAATACAAGTATCGAATTCGGTTTCGATTTACCTTGTGATATTGCCAGTCATTTTGAAACTGATAAATCTGATAATATACTACTCTCACTTTGCTAAGGATCACAAAAATTCACAACTTTACTTAAACGTACATTAATAATTTGAAATTGTATCCATTTAAAAAATGGATAAATAATAATATGGTAGCCCCTCTTTAGGCAAACAGGCACTTTAATCTAACCTTCTGCACTTGATAGATGATTAACCATAAAAACAGTTTTCATGGCACCAATCAACCATTTTACATAGCATGGTACGAGTCATTGGCAAGTACACAACACCTGTCAATAGCAGGTATGGTATCTACAAGATGAAATGACATACTGAAACCTAGGATCAATGCTTACAATAAGCTAAGATGTTTACACCAAATTTGACCTCCACATCATAGTTTTCTGTCGAAACCATGATTTGATCCTTAGCAAAGTGTGAATAGTATACTATTGGTAGTACATTGACAAAGAAACACATGTATTTTTGACACTTTTGACACAAGTATCTGTAAATGAAACACATACTTGGGAGAGCATGGGAACCCTTCCATTTTGCAGTCAATAATGAAGTTCTTAGCCGGGTGGCCCCCTTCAATCAGGGTGGACGCATTGTGTGTCTTAGAGAAGGTAGCATAGGCCATTGAGGCGATGTACTCCCTGTCCTTATCTTCATAAAACTCGTTAGCCACGTTGCTCCGTTCCAGCATGTCCCATTTGTTGAAGCTATTTTCCTTCAAGAAATCAGTAAGATCAGCTGCTTGTCTCTTTTTACGTTTCTTCGGTGTAGGTCCTCCTCCTCCTACTCCTCCTCCTACTCCTCCCATCGTGGTGAGTGGAACACCTCCTGTCATGCCTGATGTTGAGTCCGTGGCGCCGCTGTCGTGTGTTGTAGAGGATGAGGATGCGGTTTGGGAGGATCCAAAAGGAGCAGGATCTCCGCTCTTTGTCGTAGTATCAAGACCTACGCCCATAGAGTCTGACGTGGAGTTTGTGGCTTGGCCAGAGGAGTTCGTTGACGGCTGTGACACCAGTGGCCCTGTAACTTGTCCAGATGTAGCAGAAGGAGCGCTTGTTGCCACACCTGGGGGTGATTCAGTTGTTGGGTTCGGGACGCCGTTTCCATTTGTTCCCCAGGACGTGGACGACACTAAACCAAATGTGTTCGGGTTTGACATCCAAGTCGTCATTGGCATACCAATTACCGCTACGAAAGAGAGATCAAAGTGCATATGTACATCACAGGGTTAATATGTGTGTGTTCGGTCCGACAGTCACCGACAGTGACCACCAATCATAATTATTATTTACCATTGCTAGACCATGTATTCATTGTGGTCACATTCTTGTAAAATCGTATACCAAGTGTGCTTGCAGAAAAAACAGAGATAACAAGTTATTGCAGATTATACAATTTTATGCAACACACTGTAACCCAAGAATTCCCCAAACCTCTAAAACCCAAACAAACAATTACAGAACTGTGTACTGTATTCGTCGCAAGACCATAGTCTTCACCTTATGGTGGTTGGTTGGTTGGTTAGTTCGCTGTTTAACGCCGCACTCAGCAATATGTCAGCTATATGGTGGCGGTCTGTAAGTAATGGATCTGGACCAGACAATCCAGTGATCAACATCATGAACGTCGACCTTCGCAATTGGGATACGATGACAAATGTTAACCAATTCACTTTTGAACTGTACATGTATATATATGTAGTATTTAAATACTACTAACACATTGGTTAGGTGTTCAACACACTATTCAAGACGGCCTGTTGAAGGTAGTTTGCGATCACAAGGATGTGAGTAGGCACACCTACATTTGTAGTTAATATTCAGTCATACTTACCGTCAGGCTTCCGATGTTTGTCTTCGTACCAGTCGTCATAGTAGTTGTCTTTAAATGCGGTGTACAGCTTGTCTTGTGATTCAAGCTGCATGAAGGATGCGAGGTCCCTATAGGGCATCTCGTGTAGTTTGGATTTCTTGAGTGGGTTCAAATTACACACTGTTATGCTTGGGAAATCTAGTTCCTGTGCCGCCACCAAGTCCATCTTAACTTCCACGGGATAGTTAAAGTACCGCTCTAGAAGCCAGTAACACTGAACTGATAGCCAGGCCAGCATTGCCAGGAACACCACCAACCACGCAAGGCGCTTTACAATTGATGTGGCATTGTAGATTCGAACCAGAGCAGTGAAACTGGTCTCCTGAAAGAACTTGTTAAACTGTTCCTTGACATTGCCAGATTTCATTTCTTCTTCCCCTCTGTAAACAAAGGCTTCTGGGATACCGTTCTTCTCCGATCTGGTTTTGGGGAGCGCCATCATGGTTGAAGGCTGGGAGTGTCTTCGGCGTGGAGCAATTGTTAATAGATGTTTCGTCAGCTCTGGGTGGTCCTCAAACAGCGCGACTGAACTGCAGTCACATCGTGAAGAAACTTAAGAACTCAAATCGTTCGATAATAACGTTTAGCTTGAAATAAAACTTAATCACATCACGTACAGAGTTGAGATAATATGCGGAAAATAATCTCAGAACGTCAAACTCCAGCGGATGTTTCTGTTTCACGCGGCCTACTACGATGTTACTATGATGCCAACATCAGTGTTCATCGTCTCTCTCTTCAGTCTGAATATGTCACCACGAGTGTGTGTTAAACTCATTAACGCGCTTTGCTAAAAGCAATCAATGAGTGCTTTCAATACAGATAGGCTGACAAACCAACCGCGAAATCACGTGAATATGTTGCTATTGGATAAACTTACTAAAATAGCGAGGTTGTCAATAACCTTGACGTTGGTACCCGTCTGAGAATTACCCAATGGCAGCGTTGATGCGATGGGAACGTGACGTTCTACAAATACAACGTATATTTCTTATCATGGTTTGAGGGTAATGGGAAACTACCTCTTTCAAGTGCAGAAGGACTCAATTGTCCGTGCATGAGGATGAACCAACTGACATCGGTTAACATTCCCGGGTATCAGTAAACACATTGTGTGTTAGTCAATGATAGTTTTATGAGCATATTCCACCAAGTTGAATGACCATGGGTGTCGTTTTGATGGGATTATCTAATAATTTTATTCATAGTTGTATATTGTCTTGTGTGTGCTCATCTAAAACCGGTATTCATCATGTTACTATCTCCAAACATATTTAGATTGTTACTTTTTCTCTCTCAGTCGAACAAAATATGTATAATCCAGATATTGTAAACAAATAAATGCTCTCTACTTTAATGCATATTCATAACGTGACATATAATTATAGTTTGGTTGAAATAAATGTTGACAACACAGACACTTCAAATCGGCACCCCAAGTGTGCTACAAAGAGCCATTAAATCTTCTAACATACCTTTTTAAAGTCATATTATTGACGAGTTGTTTATGTTTACGATGCATTCTCCACAAATCTTATGAAGACTTTATTGATTAGAATACCTTCTTGCTTCTGCACCTAAGGTTTGTGTTTGAACAAAGACTCTAAAAGAACGTCATATAAGATGATCAGTTGTCTGTTTCTGACATGACCTGTTGAATAAATTGAACGCCATCTTCAGTGAAAACCCAGCTTGACATTGAAAAAATCTGTTCCCGCGGGTCAGAAAGCTTGGATACCCAGACGTGTCCCAGAGAGGTATTGTTTGCAACACAACAGATTCAATCAATCGTTAAGTATTTCTACAGTGTAAAAGTGGAAGGCTGTGTGACTGATATTGTTTTTACAAATAGGTAACCTTTAGCGAGCCAACGAGGCTGTTTATCTGGACCTGCCGACCATTACCAACAATCACGAAGCCAAACATTACATGCCGTAGAAAGTCTATAATCAGAGGATCCTATGTTACAACCGCTCAATGTCCCGCATAATGACCGTTTCGCTAGCATGTGATCATTAATTTGTAATAACTTTTATCAATTTGCATCCCAAAACCGTTGCTACTTGACAAAAAAGTGTATTATTCACCATTCGTTAATAGACTAGTGTAGCGAATAATTCTAGATCGTCATCAAGTACTTGCTTGCCAACACTACAGAGCCGAGATTAAACAGTAGAAATTGTGCAATAACATGTCGGTTAATGAGGAAAGTTGTTTTGAAACTTCCCTGATAAATTGGATTTGAGCAATTCGTAACATTAGCACAATTGGAGATTATAATGAATAAACACCATATATTTATATACACAGTCCCGGGGATTCGTTAATTGAGTAGACAAAACATATGATAGTTCGGTGTATTTGATCGAATTTGTTCATCGATATGCAGAGACAAACCAACTGATGTTTATGATTTCAAATCAATAAAGTCATCGAATGTTTTCAGTCGGCAAATCAAACGTGATTATTATTAGTTGGAGTTAAAACGTTAGTTTAACAATGTTTCATCTCGCCTTTTGTTTCCATCAGATTGAAAATAAACAACTTGCATACATTCTCATATGATCCTTAAACGTTAAGATGAATTGTTATATGAGTAATACATTTTATGAGACTGTTCAACACCTTGTCAGCCGATGTCCATAACTGGCACAAAAACATATCTTACCATGGCATGACACATTGTTTACATTGCCGTCTTCGCCATGTCTGTGACTTTGAGACCCATGAAGATCCGGGTTAGAATATTGATCTTCAGCAACCCATGCTTGTCGTAAGAGGCGACTAATGGGATCTGGTAGTCAGGCTCGCTGACTTGGTTGACACATGTCATCGGTTCCCAATTGCGCAGATCGATGCTCATGTTGTTGATCACTGGATTGTCTGGTTCAGACCAAACAAACCAGTGATCAACAGCATGAGCATCGATCTACGCAACTGAGATAAGATGACATGTGTCAACCAAGCCAGCGAGCCTGACCACCCGATCCCGTTAGTCGCTTCATACGACAAGCATGGATTACTGAAGATCAATTCTAACCCGGATCTTCACTGGTCGACATTGGGAGAGAAACCAGGTTTGCTGACAAGAAAAGAGCCCTTTTGACGCTCGGGGTAATAGAGAAAGCTGCAATGTCGATGTTTACCGAAGGGCGGCCAGACGTTTGTTCAAAACGGAGGGTAGTGCTAATGCGAGGGTCAGTGGTCAAATATGAAATGCTGTTAGACAAACTGAATACGATGAGCAGAAGGCAAAAAGAATAGCCTACAAGCTCAACACATTGTTTTGTGAAAAACGTAAAGTTTGATTGAACGCACGTTAAAATAGTCGGGCTGTCCGGTTTTCGGTCAGGCTTTTAGCATCGCGAGTGTCACCCCTTGTGTATTTTATGTAATGAGTGTAGCGGGAGATTTTCAAAAAATCCATTTCTTCACCTATTTCGTTCAAATTTGAAACATAAGTTACTCATAACATATGAAAACAATATACGGTTGCAAAAATCTAGATTTTTATTTTTTTAAATTATTGTCCAAACAGTGATTCGAACCCCTGTGGATCTGTGAAATTTGGAACTGTCTTCTACATGCCTACCACCCAAAATAGGAGAACACGTTTTTTCATCTTTTGCAATGTAGAACGTTAGTGCAAAAGCACACCTCTTGACTATCCTCAGAAAAAAATTCCGGGTGGTGTAAAGGGAATAAAAGTTGTGAAAATCAGTTGTAAGGATAACTGAATATGAGAATGACACCAGGTAGCATCCGCCTTTCACAACATGCGAGGGCGGCCTGTAAACAAACCAAACAATCAAGTGATCACATGGATCACATGAAAAGTTCATCTTTAGCAAACAATCGTTGAAACGTACTTCATGAGCTTTTCAAACGAAATCCTTAAAGACTGGACACAACACAAAAATGCATGCATACGAAGGACTAAATGGACTATAAGTGGCATTTACAATTAATGGTGTTTACAACTGATAAATGTCATTCAGGAGAACATATGGAATATGTATTGACCCTCTTAATGTATATCAACAATAGACGTACCAATAGGACAACGGAGCAATCAAATTAAGTTCCCTCCACTCCTGTAGAGATACAAGGCCATTGAAACACTATTATCATGCTATTATCAGTGGATTGTGTTATGCTCCAGTGGAACTTGTAGACAATCGTCGTGGCTTAGCTTATCTCTTGTCATTGTTGATGTTTAATTGCACATTCAACGAGGCACTGTCAACTTTGTATCATGTTACTTCGCTGTAGCAGCGTCTCTTGTGTTGACGCCATGGCAAGCGGCTAGCATTGATTAGTAACGTGGATGTATTTAAAGCTGAACTAATCAGTTGCTACACTCAACTATGTGGCTGAGTATGTTGGGATGACATCACCTCAAACAGTATTTCAACTATATCTAGGATCACTTCTTCCAGTAACAAACACCCAACCCAATGATGTTTTCCTTTGTGGTGGTCATGTGGGATACTGGTGTAAAAAACTGATGAATCAAATCTTTTGACATAATTAACTTGATAATAAATTTGGCAGATTTACGATTTCCTTCCTCTGTTAACATACTGGCATTACATATGGCATTATTTGTCATGTCTTTGATGAAACCACCAATGACGTGTTCCACACACATAATGGTTATGACTTTTAAGCCGTGTCAGTTAGAAGCGCTGCAAACCTTTCATGCCAGGCAACCATACTGTTGGATGACATCTGGTTGGGACAGAATTAGTTTAATCTACATCATTTGTGCATTCTACATAGCAACATCAAGTCCTGGCCCAATCCACACTAAGTGACATTTTTTGGTCCAAAAATATTTTTATAGTTGGGATCCAGTTTGGAAGGAGATTGCTGAAGATATTTCCGTCTATACATGAATAAATGACAAAGGTTATTATTGCCAACAATTGGAAAGTCAATTCTGATTAAACGACGAAGATGATGGTAGCACTATGTTGGTCTTGGTAGCCATCTGCAGAGGAATTGACAACAGTTGCCAAGGAAATGTTCGGGAATAATTTGAATAGTTTCTGAAAACTGAACTATGTTGGGGTATTTAAGGCAGCTGATTTTGACTGAAAGTTTAATCAACATTTATGTTTGAAAATTTCAAATTGAGGATCATGAGATTTGCCTCCTTCCGATTTGGACAAACATTTCAAAGCAATATCGAGAAGAATACTTATTATGTCGGGTATAATAGTTTTCCGAATCACCCACCAAAAGTTGCTTGGGTTGTTTAAAAAGTGTTAAACAACAGAGAGTGTAGTCTTATTCTTAAATGAAATTTCTATCGTTTGAGCTTGGTGAATTAGATAGAAATTGATTTCTTAGGGACAAACCAGATAAAGGATCCAGTTTTAATTGCACATTCAACGAGGCACTGTCAACTTTGTATCATGTTACTTCGCTGTAGCAGCGTCTCTTGTGTTGACGCCATGGGAGGTAATGCATGGTCTATATGTCTATAAATGTGACGTCATAGCGCGGTAAGTTCAATCACGGCTGCGACGACCAGTTCACAACATATTGATTTGTTATATGTAAAACAAAGGTTTTTGTGTGGTTTTTGGTTGTTGTTGTTGTTGTTTTTTAAGATGCTGCAAAGAGGTTTTGGGAATGTAAATAAAATTGAGATGTTAGACACTGCTGCAGTGTTGTCATACCTACCTTGTAGGTGGAAAAGATGTTACTGTAGCATCTGATATCTACAGTGATAATATGCTTACTTTTTCTTTTAGGATGCAAGCGTAGAAACTGCCTTGCAGGAGTGCTCTGAAGGTCAATCTGATTGACGGTTTGTATGCGTGGAACAAGACGGTGAGGCGTGAATCATCCTTGATGTGATGTGATGTGATGTGATGTGACGTGATGTGATGTACCGTGTACAATTGTAATAAACGCGCAAGTGTCGCAGGGGACTTACAAAGATGTTTGTTCTTTTATCTGGTTTGTGCTGGTGGTAGAAAGAAGATGTTATGTAGTCTCAACGTTTCCTGAATGAGAGAAACTCAAATCATGATGTCACAGATAGATAGCACACGCTATTAAAGTTGCTATATCAAATATTGGATCTGAAAGGTGTGGACACAGAATGGCACTGCTTTCGGTACTTTGTGCTTTCTGCTTTCTGCAATGTCAAAAACAATGAAAGAAAACTGTTCAGGATATTGTGACATTAGTGTAATTTATTACCAGATGTGACTAAGGAGATTCAGAGTAGTACGAGTAGTTCATGACGGTGACGGTACCACTGTACTAGCGTCATGATACACTGAGATTGTAACACTACTGTACTCGCGTGTATTCGGGCATCACAGGTTCAAGCATGAGGAAGGCGGTTGTCACGATTGAACTGAACCCCGTTTTCTCCTTGTATGACAACATCGTTTTCTGTAAACAGACGAAAATACATACACTATTCGCTACGGTGATAGCTTATGTGTGATTATATTGAACTGAAACACAATGAGAGGAAGTCGATCGACATTACTTACTCATCCTGGTTTACCTCGTGTATTTCTGTAATTGTGTATACCATGGACTCATTCGGCCCCGGAAGTGACGTCACTAAAAGCGTTAGGTAAGTGCTGTCTCTAACTTACTGTCATTTATCTGTGCCCAAGGCACTTTACTGCATGATGACCGGCACAGTGAGTCCAATATGGCGAACTCGCTACACTTACTCTGGATCATTCCTAAATTATGCATTTCCAGGTTCCTTCATTTTCTTTGAAAGTTCTTACTAATAAGACATAGTCATATTCCTTCGTCATGAAGAGCTGCATCATAGCGGATGCAGCGTTAAGCAATTTATCACTCACTCACTTCGCAAATGTGACCCAAGTCCAGATTACCATGGTACATGAATGTGTTATGTCTAACAAACGCAAATTCGATGATGTTTGAAGCAAAACAATTCAAACGGTTCTTCTGAATTCGAGTTCTGCACGGATCTATTCACAGTCACGACCTCGTCCGAGTGAGTCCTCCACATATTGACTGAGAAGTCTTTTAGTATATTTTTGCATATTTAAGAAAAAGGTCAGATCGAATACTGTGGTAGCCATTGAGTCCAGGGTATGTATCACAATGGAGAATAAATATCCTGGGATCCTGAATGTGTGCATTAATTCCGTCAACAGCATAATGGACATATAAGGGACCCTGCGTTTAGTGGCAGTGGTCCCCGGGGACGTATAAATCAATGATATAATCCCGATTGTTACAGAAGGAATATGTTAAGATCATTAAAACAACGATTCCCCGATGTTACTATTGTTCATGGCAAATTAACAATGCATGGATATGTCAAACATAAAAGATACGTTTTGCCACTAGTGTTCTTACCTATACCGGTTATGATGTCACGGATGGATTCCCCGTTGATTGAAGTCATTTCCAGCTTGATGGGGAGTTCTATGAGTCCATCACTTAATTCCCAGAACCCATCTGACGTGTGCTTCATGGGCTCTGGTCGTCCATCGCGATCAACCAGAATGGAGTTGACTGGGAGCCTGGAAATAGTTAAGCGCTTTGGTCAAATGAATTTGGTGTTAGGCCCCTTTACAGATATTTACATCATGGTTATGAATTTGTCATAGGAGCAAAGCCCAAGTTAATAAAGTTCGTTTGTCTTTTGCGATAAACTTGGAGACCTTTACTATACACCCGTTGTCCTTTATTATACACCTGGATACCTTTACTATACACCTGGATACCTTTACTATACACCTGGGTACCTTTACTATACACCTGGAGGCCTTTACTATACACCTGGATACCTTTACTATACACATGGATGCCTTTACTATACACATGGAGGCATTTACTATACACCTGGAGGCCTTTACAAGACACCTGGAGGCCTTTACCATACACCTGGATACCTTTACTATACACCTGGAGGCCTTTACCATACACCTGGATGCCTTTACCATACACCTGGAGAGGCTTTTATCATACACCTGTAGGCCTTTACTATGTACCTATTTTTCAGGCATATCATGTTAGTAGAATATGTCGACAAAACGAACTGTAACTTATAATGGTACTATTTCTTTGCTTGCTTTTAACGTCGTACTCAACAAAATTCCGGTCTGGATCTATACGACCACACAATACAGTGATTAATATTCTGAGTTACACATATGACACAAACCAACCAATCATCCGAGCCAAACTACTTGTTAAATGTGCGTTAACGTTCAGGACAGGAATAAGTCAAAGGGACCAATCCTCACCGGAATGTCTACTGGATCAGTACATATCACTGACAAATCCATGCCCGTTGCATGTACGAACTCAAACCCAAACAGAAGATCTTTGCACGTCTTTGGGCTGCAGCCTAACAGAAAGTCACCTTTCTTCGTTGCATTCAACATTAATGTAATAATTAAGAAAAGGGTCGAATACTGTGGCAGTCATTGAGTCCAAGGTATGTATCACAATGGAGAAAGTCACCTTTCTTCGTTGCATGCAACATTAATGTAAATTTCTTCTGGAAAGCTGGGCTGTAGATTACAGTAACACATTGGCTTAGATGAGGCTATCCTCGTGAAATGGCCATATGAATAAGTGGTAGTTATGAAGTTGAATAAACTGTTACACATGACTTTGTGTTACTGACCTTGCGTTCCTGACCTGGAGCTTGATGTACCATGCATTGCTTCCTTGGAACTTATATTCTATCTTGGTGTTTCCGACCGGACACTGTACAGCCTGAATCTCCACCTCCCAACTTCCATCACCTTCCTCCGCGAGGTCAATGTCGCCTGCAATAGGTCAGTGTGTTGGATGAGTGAGTTGAGTTTAATGCTGTGTTGTCTGTGTTATCACAACGCGTAGGGTTAATGTGTGCCCAGTCGTACATATGTGATACTTTTAAAAAACTGTCAGCACTGTGATGCTGAGAAACATACGAACTTGGATTTAGGATTCGAATCAACAATCTCATCACTGTTACCTGGAAGTGAACCTGTACAGTGAGTTGTGCTGTTTCACGTGACGGTACCAACGTCACAAACGTTGTCGTTTAATCGTTAACGACATAAGCACAAGGGACATATCTAATGTCTGGAAACATCCTTACCCCACCACAAGGTCAGCTGATTTGAAATGTTGTTGGGATATATTACGAACTAACTTTACAGGTAAAAGATACTTGTCACTGAAAACTAGTTTTCTGATAAAACATATTTAATCTTACTCTTTTAATATTCTTTCAATCCTGTGAAAATGGTAAACAAGGTGTTACGTGGCCGAATCAAAATTCAAATATGGAGTGACACCAACGAACGCGTATCACATGAAAAACATGTTGTGTAATATAGTGAATACATGTATACATTACTCACCTTCTTTACATTCCGGACATATGTCGTTGACGAAGACGTAGAAGTCTCCTTTTATAGGATCTGATCCAGTACCCACACCTGTACCTAGCACCTGCAGGAATAGAAACCACGTACTGCGTTAATGGCACCTACAAGACGTAAGGTACATTTATAGTGTTGTTTCACAGAATGATGACAACAGACATAGTATAGTAGTTTAAGGAAAGACAACCTACCCTGAAGCACATGCCACATGCAAGAGATCCAGAGTACTGTTCTGCGTTTATAGCCACCAGGCTCTTGATCCGAGGATGGGTAGCAACAGGTGGGAATTCTGGCCCCATCTGACATGCCCCGGATTGTCCTCTTCCAACATAGGTGCCCTACAACGCGCCACACACTCAGTAGGACATAGTTATTATGCATACATAATTATACCATCATTGAACATTCTACTCCAACAAAATTCCAGTATGTCCAAATTTGATTTGGTTCGATTTAAAATATATATATATATACACACACTCACCTCCCCGCTGAATCTCTGAACATACAAACTAAGAACCGCTTTGTTGTAGGCCTGAACACTTCCCAAATACCAAATTATGGCTGCTGCAACACGCCACTGAATAATATCCATGATGAATAGCCCTTTAGATCCAAAACGACTCTCAGCGATGTGGGGATTTTGAAGTTTGCAGTGCTGATAGAACAACGAGGGACTTATATAATCTCCTTGCATTAGCCATGTTTACAGTGTGATTCAGCTGTGGGAGCGAATTGCCCAGTGTTTTTCTGTGACGAAACATCACACAGGGAGGAAATGGGGAGATTATCGGTGGACACAAATCAAATTTCGAGGTCCAAGCCGGCTACTTTGAAGAATTGTTTATTTTCGCGTACATGTTGTCTCAGAGTGTAAGGAAGAATGGCGCGTTTCTTGTTTCAGGCCTTCAAACTAGACTGCGTCCAGACATTCAGTTTGCAGAAGGGGCCCGTGGGTTGGAAAAACAGGCTCTTTTGAGCCAAGCTCTAACTGTATCATCAAGGGAATTAAGTGAAAGTTTCGTGAATGGACACATCCAGTAAAACCGCGACGACGGCGTAGCTAAGCTGAAAGTAGAACAGTCTCCTACGTGGTGATTATCCGTTTTGTTAAATTTATAGTTTGATTGTAAGTGATCAGGATGCCCAGTTGAATTGATACCTCAGAAATATCCAGTCGATTTGGCCATGACAAAAGTCGGTATTTGAGTGAACATATATTTTGAAAGTTTAAAACATGCCTGTTAGGTTTTATCTGTCATAAATGAGAACATTTGTAAGCAATCAATTCACAGAAATATCATATAATTTGATTTATGGTCGAATAAAAAAAGCCGCTTTAATCAATTAATTAATCTTGCGATTGATGGATGGATGGGATAAACAGAAAACGAGACAGTGTTCAGGTTCAGGAGCAAAGGTTGTCAAGCAGATATATGGACCTGGTCACTGAGATGTTTTTTTACGTTGTGGCGACAAACATGATTACCTCGCTGTGATGTTCTTTTGGTGTTGAGGGAGATATGACGACCTTGAAGTCACTGCTATGTTGTGATGAAGGGGCACACGTGATAACCTCGGAATATTGGGGGTGTTCTTTTGATGTGAGAAAAATCATTGCTACCTCGAAATTACTGAGATGTTCTTGTGATGTACTGACACATACGACTACCTCAAAGTCACTGAGATGTTCTTGTCATGTATCGACACGTACGACTACAGCCAAGTGACAGAGATGTTTTTGTGATGTACTGACACATACGACTACCTCGAAATTTCTGAGATGTTCTTCTGATGTACCGACAAATACGACTACCTCGAAGTCACGGAGATGTTCTTGTGATGTATCAACACGTACGACTACATCCAAGTGACAGAGATGTTTTTGTGATGTGATGTACCTGACACATACGACTACGACTTCGTCAGTCACTGAAATGTTCTTGTGATGTACCGACACAAAATACGACTACCTCGAGTCACTGAGATGTTCTTGTGATGTACCGTCACATACGACTACCTCGAAGTACGACTATGTACCGTCGACTACCTCGAAGTCACGGAGATGTTCTTGTGATGTACCGACACATACGACTGCCTCGAAGTCGTCACGGAGATGTTGTTCTTGTGATGTACCGTACACTACATCCAAGTGACAGAGATGTTTTGTGATGTACTGACAAATACGACTACCTCGAAGTCACGGAGATGTTCTTGTGATGTACTGACACATACTTGTGATGTACTGTCTACGACTACCTCGAAATCAAAGTCACGGAGATGTTCTTGTGATGTACCGTCACATACGACTACCTCGAAGTCACGGAGATGTTCTTGTGATGTACCGTCACATACGACTACCTTGTAGTCACGGAGATGTTCTTGTGATGTACCGACACATACGACTACCTCGTAGTCACGGAGATGTTCTTGTGATGTATCGACATATACGACTACCTCGTAGTCACGGAGATGTTCTTGTGATGTATCGACATATACGACTACCTCGTAGTCACGGAGATGTTCTTGTGATGTATCGACATATACGACTACCTCGTAGTCACGGAGATGTTCTTGTGATGTATCGACATACGACTACCTCGTAGTCACGGAGATGTTCTTGTGATGTATCGACATATACGACTACCTCGAAAGTTGTAGTATTGATTATCTTACGTTATGTTACAATTCCAAATTGAAATACTAATTTAATTAAAACCAGAAATGTTGTTCAAGCCAAAAAACAAGAAAGAAATGCTATACAATTAATACTTGCACTATACAGATAAATATTTTTACAACTCGATAACAAATACTGCAAATAAAATACAACGGCAGTACACAATAGAATGGCAGTCCAAATTCATTGACAACACAATAGCAGTGGCAGTATTAAATATATTATTGAAATAAAGTCAATGTGCATTATCTGATGTTATGCCATTTTTAATTCAAAAAGATAATAACATGACGTATGGTGTTTTCCTTAATTTCTGTTTAACTGTTGACAGGATAATATCGTAATCTGTATGATTTGACGCTATACATCTCAATAAGAATACGTCAGCCCGTATAGTCTTTTATTGCAGAGAGAATGATTATGCTTTTTGCAACACATGTGTCTCGTACATCTCGACACTGTGACATACCTTATATGCCAATTCCGATTCTACGCCGAGCGTAGGTTGGGATCAAGTTTAAACTGCACCTGGTTCTCTCCATGCAAAACAACACCATTTTCTGAAAGAAACAATGCATGATGTATATGGATAGACTTTCTGACTTACGCTAAGAAGTAAGCAACAATCCGCGACCACATATTAACAGTAGAAATGTGAAATATACACTTTGAAATAAACTACCTGGCAAAAAAAAAGTTATCACCGACTTCACTTGATTACAAAATATAGACAAAGCCATATGCGAGATTTATGATAATTATTTTACAACCGAAATCATTTTCCAATAATTTGACAGAAAATTTTAATATTCGTCTTGCATTTGCCGCAATTCATTAAGAAAGAGTCTCGGGGCCAAAATTAAAAATTACACAAATCAGACTTCATTCATTAAGTACATATTGAGTCTCATATTGAGATAGGAGTCAGGGAGCACGTCCTCAATAGCATGTGTGTCCACCATGGGAATACATACACTGTAGATAGCTATACACACGACATATGGCATACGATTCAGGCGATCTGACTATTTTCATTCACAAATGTCCTTCGCATATGTGCCTTCGTGGCAATTGGCGAATCATTATCATAGCTCATGCAGTGTTAAGCAAATTTCACTCACTCACTTTGCAAATGTGCCTAAAATCGAGTACTGTGTATTTAGCTATTTAGTCCAGGGTATGTATCACAATGGAGAATAAATACCACTGATTGCATATGGGTAAATGTGTGCATTAATTCCGTCAGCAGCATAATGGATATGTAACTGGCCCTGCGTTTAGTGACAGTGGTCCCCGGGGACGTATAAATCAATGATATAATCCCGATTGTTACAGAAGGATCATATTACCTGGTAGCAAGGTCATTGAAACAACGATTCCCCGATGTTGATATTGTTCATGGCAAAGTAACAATGCATGGATATGTCAAACATAAAAGATACATTTTGCCACTAGCCTTCTCACCTATACTGGTTATGATGTCACGGATGGATTCCCCGTTGATTGAAGTCATTTCCAGCTTGATGGGGAGTTCTATGAGTCCATCACTTAATTCCCAGAACCCATCTGACGTGAGTCTGGAAGTAGTAAAGCTCACTGGTCCCTAATAAAGTTTGTGTTAGGACCCCTTATAAATATTTACATCATTGTTATGAACTTGTTGAAGGGGCAAAATCCAAGGTGATGCAGTTCGTAGACCTTTACCATACACCTGGAGGCCTTAACCATACACCTGGAGGCCTTAACCATACACCTGGAGGCCTTTACCATACACCTGGAGGAATTACCATACACCTGGAGGCCTTTACCATAAACCTGGAGGCCTTTACCATACACCTGGAGGCCTTTACCATACACCTGGAGGCCTTTACCATAAACCTGGAGGACCTGGGGGCCTTTACCATACACCTGGAGGCCTTTACCATACACCTGGAGGCCTTTACCATACACCTGGAGGCCTTTACCATACACCTGGAGGCCTTTACCATACACCTTGGGGCCTTTACCATACACCTGGGGGCCTTTACCATACACCTGGGGGCCTTTACCATACACCTGGAGGCCTTTACCATACACCTGGAGGCCTTTACCATACACCTGGAGGCCTTTTAACCATACACCTGGAGGCCTTTACCATACACCTGGATTTTAGGCCTTTACCATACACCTGGAGGCCTTTACCATACACCTGGAGACCTTTACCATACACCTGGGGGCCTTTACCATACACCTGGGGGCCTTTACCATACACATGGGGGCCTTTACCATACACCTGGAGACCTTTACCATACACCTGGGGGCCTTTACCATACACCTGGGGGCCTTTACCATACACCTTTTACCATACACCTGGGGGCCTTTACCATACACCTGGGGGCCTTTACCATACACATGGGGCCTTTTACCATACACCTGGAGGCCTTTACCATACACCTGGGGGCCTTTACCATACACCTGGGGGCCTTTACCATACACCTGGGGGCCTTTACCATACACCTGGGGGCCTTTACCCATACACCTGGGGCCTTTACCATACACCTGGGGGCCTTTACCATACACCTTGGGCCTTTACCATACACCTGGGGGCCTTTACCATACACCTGGGGGCCTTTACCACACATGGGGCCTTTACCATACACCTGGGGGCCTTTACCATACACCTGGGGGCCTTTACCATACACCTGGAGGCCTTTACCATACACCTGCAGGCCTTTACCATACACCTGGAGGCCTTTACCATACACCTGGGGGCCTTTACCATACACCTGGAGGCCTTTATTCTACACCCGGAAAACAGTTCAGCACTCATCGAGACAATGAATTATGACGTCACCATTCATTTCAAACGTAAAGGCAATGGGGATTTTGACAAAAATGATGCTATATCATGCTTGACGTGTCATGCACGTCCCCCAAACGCTACTCGTGCAATCTTCAAAATGCAGAGTGATCAGGTATCACTTGTTTGGTATCTAATTCTGGTGTCTTGATGTTATAATAATCTATAAGCATAACACGAGGCAAGACGTCTGACACGAGGGGTGAGACCGGGTTACGGCCCTCATCCGAGCAAATGAAAGTTCACTAGCTACTGAACCTTTAAAATTCGGGTATAACCGAGAGACTTAAAATGACATTTACTTTTCTGTAACTAATATTATAAGGATATTATTTCGAGGTGAAAAATCACAGCCGTTTGTCAAATCATTTTTCTGTCATTCCAGCACTTTTTGCGTTGACACTGAAATAGTTCTGGTGATGCTTGTCGTTTTTCGGGCATATAACCGTACTAGAATATGTCGGCAAAACGCGAAACCACGCTGGTACTATCCTTTGCATGATTTTACGGCGCTTTTAGTAATATTAGAGCAATATCGGGGAGGGGGACACCAGAAATGGGCTTCACACATTGTACCCATGTGAGATATCGAACCCGGGTCTTCGGCGTGACGAGATAACGCTTTATTCACTAGGCTTCTTCACTGCCTCTATCTCAACGGAATCCCTACTGAATGGGTACATGTCACTGACAAATCAAGGCTCAGTATCGGTACAAATTCAAACCAATACCGAAGATCAGAACATAAATTCACCTGAATTCGTTGCATAGAATATAAATGCAAAGTTCTCAATTCATGTAACATGACAACTTTGCGGTATCAGCAATTGTAAGTACCGGGGCTGTATCTTATCGTAATTTATTGGGTTGATACGTTGATACGCCTGGTGTGGTCATGTGAGTACGTGTTTTTTATATATACTCTTCAAAACAAGTAGGGGAACTTGAACGTTCAATTTGGATAGGAAGTATAAGCGTAATAAACTTTTCAGAGACAGACATCTTATGAATGCATCACAATTTCTCTTTATCACCACCCCTAAACACAACGCATGGGATGCACGTGCACAACGCTGTAGCCCCCTACACGTGCATGGGGTGTCTTTCTTGATTTTGACGGTTTTCAAGGAGGTCGATAAATCACTGTTATCCATTAATTTTGGCAATCATCTTGCATCACACAGATATAGGGTGTTTGTTTCTAGCCGGTTTTTTTTTTCTTTTCTTTTAAATGAAAATCGTACACATGCAAATTTCACGTCAAACACCAATCACATTTCAAGAGCGACAACTATGGTCATAAGGAAGTTTGCACAACATTCATTATTATCATGCCAACATTAGTTGACTCCGATCGTAAATTACAAATGAAGTTCTCCTACTTTATTTTTAAAGTATAGGACTGCCGCCATATAGCTAGAATATTGCTGGGTGCGGTGTAAATCTAAACTCACTCACACTCACTTTAAAAGTATAGATCACTACACTGGCTACACAGGTCCGTTACTGACCTTGCGTTCCTGACCTGGACCTTGATGTACCATGGATTGCTTCTTTGGAACTGTTATTCTATCTTGGTGTTTCCGACCGGACACTGCACAGCCTGAATCTCCACCTCCCAACTTCCATCACCTTCCTAAGCGAGGTCAATATCGCCTGTAATGGGTCAACGTTTTGGGGTGAGTAGTGAGTGAGTTTAGTTTTACGCCACACTCAGCAATATTCCAGCTAATAATCGAGTCTGGACCAGACAAACCAGTGATCAACAGCATGAGCATCGATCTGCGCAATTGGTAACCGATGACACGAGTCAACCAAGTCAGCGAGCCTGACCAACCGATCCCGTTAGTCGCCTCTTACGACAAGCATGGGTTACAGAAGATAAATATTCTAACCGGACCTTCACGCGTTTTGTGTGAGTAAGTGGACCATGGCGCCGCGTTAGACTGTATTTTCTGTTAGTTTCTTTGTGTGAGGAGAAAACTAATCTGGGCCAATTAAGTCGAACACAGCTTTTTTACGTGACGGTACCACCGACTTCCCAAACGTTGTCGTTTAATCGATAAATCGATTAATGATTAACATTAATCGTTTATAAGTTCAATGGGCATATTTAATATCTGGAACTATCCCTACTCCTTCACCAGGTGAACTACTTTGACGATTTGTTGGGATGTATTCATACTATCATGGATTATAAGGCAGTTTAGTCTATGTGATCAGTCAATCTCACATTTGAGTCAGTGAAGCAATGTGTCGGTAGCATCAAGACATGGATGACTTCTAACTTCCTGAAACTGAATGATGAAAAAACAGAGCTTTTGGTATTCTGTTCCAAACGAAGTCAAAATTATCTCCCCCTTCCAGTGTGCCGCATTGGTGAATGTGCGATCTGGGCCCGAAATCTGGGTGTGATATTCGACACGTGATTTAACATGGAATCGTATATCAAGCGTGCGTACTTCCATATTCACAACATCAGCATGATCAGGAGGTATCTCGATGTCAAGACCATTTCACCTCTTATCCAAGCCTTCTTCACGTCGAGACTTGATTACTGCAACTCGCTGTTGTTTGGAACATCTGAGCATCTACTTGGCAAGCTTCAACGTGTGCAGAACACTACAGCAGGGGTAATAACCCGTCATCAGAAATATGACCACATCACTCCTGTACTCCACAGTCCGCACTGGTTGTGAGTGAGTGAGTGAGTGAGTGAGTGAGTGAGTGAGTGAGTGAGTGAGTGAGTGAGTGAGTGAGTGAGTGAAAATTTAACATCACACCGGCAATATTTCAGCCATATAGTAACGGGACCAAAGTTAGTATATATGATAAATATATGTCACGAACGACAGTAAAACATTAGCAACGTAACACAGAATTCAAGTCTGAAAAGGATCCAGACTAGTACAAACACTGCTGTTAGTGTGTCAATGGACTTGACCCCAGCTACCGCTCCAATCTTCTTCACAACTACCATACTCCCAGGTCCATACCATGTGGTTCCAATGCAGGATTTCCAACCACCCGAACAAAGGCATTTGGCGGCTGTTAATTCGCAAACACCTGTCCAGTAATGTGGAACAGTCTACCCATGTATCTCAGATCCTAAGAGGTGAGGTGAAATTGGGTTTTACGTCGTGCTTGAGTATATTTCGCTCATATGACGACGTGCATGCGTGTGTATGTGTATGTGCGGCTGCTTGTACTAGCCCAGACTGAAGCTGCTTTTATAGTGCTAGCCCACTGAGATACCATGCCGCAGTGAAGCATGAATTCCCCTACTCAGACACATTATACTGACTCCGAGCCGACCAGTCCTTGTTGTAACCATTCATGCCGAGCGCCAGGCAGGGACCAACAAGTACCATATTTTAACGTCTTTTGGTATGACGCGGTCGGGGATCGAACCCGCGACCTTCCGCTCTCCGGGCGGACGCTCTAACCACTACACCACGGAGGCGGTCCAGATCCTAAGAGAATCTACCAACATTCAAGTCACAATTAAAAACGCATGTTTTGTGCTGCCTTCCATACTTGAACAATGTCTTTCCAGACTCCAGCGCTTTTGAGTGGCACATGCCAGAAACTAGCGCTATATAAATAGTTTTTTTCTGTACGTGTATGCATGATGAAATGATATTTTGTAAATGATATTTTAAAATATAACAGTCTTTTGCAGATGATAACAATCCCTGAACCTGGGAAAATCTAGACATGCTTCATTCAAGGCGTTACCATTGCAGTAAGGGCTGGGTGGAAGGAGAAACAATAACCACGGAGCATCAGTTCTGCCCTGATTCAGGGGTCCTTATTGTAATTCTCGTGGTTTACATGTGTTAGTGACGGGGCAGGGACACCTTGTAACATCACTATTTGATAATGATTCACAAGCACATACTCGTGATATGGTCGGACACGTACCACGGGTTCGGGTTTTAGCAGAGAGTTCTCACGAAGACGGTATTTCATGTAGGAGAATTTAAACTTGTTGTAACAAAGGTCACTAAACTACGCTTTTCCTTTTAAAAATTCTTATCTTTCGACAAGCTTATTCAAATTCTAATAGTAGTTCGGGCTCTGAAACAAATGGGGTCAAGCAGGTATATGGACTTGGTCACTGAGATGGGTTTTTTTCTGTTGTGATGACAAACATGATTACCCGAAAGTCGCTGTGATGTTCCTTTGGTGTTTAGACAAATATGACGACCTTGAAGTCACTGTCATTGTGATGAAGGGGCACATGTGATAACCTCGGAATCTTTGGGGGTGTTCTATTGATGTGGGGGAAAACATTGCTTCCTCGAAGTTACTGAGATGTTCTTGTGATGTACCGGATACGGGACTATAAAATTAACTGCGTTTATAAAGCAATACAAATTAATGCAAATGATATACAAGGGCAGTTCACACCAGAGTGGTCTTGACTCCAAAACAGGCCTTGTCTGGATATCCAAGGTTGAAAAGATGAGATAAGATGTTAATGAACCTTCCAGATTACTCTTCACTTCCAGTCTATATTCAGCAACTTAAAAATTATGTAACACAACCCTCCACTATATCTCAACAGAAACAATGTAATACATTTGCGTCACTGTTGTTTTACAGTGATTTATACTGCCAAATAATGATTACCTTGAAGTCCCCTTGAGGTCTTGTGGTGTAAAAATGGTTTCATTTAAGTTGCACCAGCTTAGGTCTTATAGAACTTACTTTGTAAGAAAACAGACTTGATTTCCAAGACAATTAGATTGGAATTGTATAATATGTAACATATGATATATGATATACTACAATTTGAATCGAACCCGGATCTTCGACGGGACGAGTGAACGCTATAACAACTAGCCTCCCCCTACCGCCCCTAATTTGGAATATAAGTGGCAAACCCTTTTTCATTACCCTAACACATGTACATTGTACGATTCCAATTGTAGTATATACCCCCACCCCCCTACCCGCCCCTGTGTAAAAAAATATGTAATGCTCATAGTTTCAAGTGCTCACAAATCTTTAGTCAGATAGCACCATTCCCGTGCGTGGATTTATTCATGGCGCATAGTGACAGTAAAGAGTGCCTGCATACACATTCCCTTTAAAGCATACTGAACATTTCAGTAAGAATGATTCGGTACGAAGGTCTTTTATTGCAGAAAGAGTGATTATGCTTGTTACAACACTTGTGTCACGTTCATCTCGACACAGTGACAGAACACATATGTCACATCTAATTCTACGCTGAGGGTAGGCTGGAATCAAGCTTAAACTGCACCTGGCTCTTTCCATGCAAAACCACATCATTATCTGAAACAGAAAATGTCACAATTGAATGATGTAGACGTTTTGACTTACAATAGGAAGTACGTGACAATCCCGCCTGACATCATAATGGGCCAAATTAATGTTAACAGCAGAAATGAAAAAAATATGTACTTTGAAAGTTTTACTTTCCATAAATTCAATTCATAATTGAACCCTACTGTATAAAGAAGGCGCGTTTCAGGAGAACCATTAGACTGTCATACAGAAACTGAAACAAATATGTTTAAGATTGCCCGTGCAAGTCTAGGATGTGTGACAAGACTAGATTTCCAAAGTTTCAGGATTTGGGAGAACTATCAGAAGAATGATTAGTTTGTCATACAGATTTAGAAACTGACACAAATAAAGGTATTTAGAATGCCAATGCAAGTCTAGGATATGTGGCAGGACTACATTATCACAGTTTCAGGATTTATGAGAATTATCATTGGGTGTATGGACTCACTTAAGTTGGGAATGATGTCTGTTACCGTCTCCCCATTAGCTGCTGTCAGCCTCACACGGACGCCGCCTGTTTGGTCTACCTTCTGTCCGTTGGAAAGTTCCCAGAATCCATCGGCCGTGTGTTTCATGCTGACGTACTTCCCGCCCTGCATCATTTCAGCTTCCGTGGCTGGTATGCTGGTAGTTAAAGTTTAATCGTAGCAATAAAACGCATGTTTGAGCATAAAGAGTGACCATCACACACGTGACATGAAAAGGATAAATGACAAGCACAAAACAAAAAACAATTTAATACAACCTGAAATGATCAGACTACTAAGTGATGTTGACAACTGCAAACTGCAAAATGATCATTCCCCGGTATGCCCTATTTATATGACTATGTGCTGACTATATGTTTATGCCAGTGTAAATGTCTCCGTGTTGTAATATCACTCTGTCTTTGTCAGTGCTTGTATATTTAATGTGTTATTAAAGTGTTCAATGTGGCATCATTATACAGTATTAATATGCATATGTCAAGCCAGTGTTTCGTTGCCTATGTTTATGTCTGTGCCCATTTGTTTGCATCCTCGATAATCTCCAGGATATACGTTCCGATAAATCTCCACAGGGACATGTATGCATCTTCGGCTCGGCCCGATAATTTTATTACCTCCCTTTGCTGGGTCCGCCTCCTCACAGTAGCCAATCAGATAAGCCGGGTCAGGGTCAACAAAGATAGGAGCCGCAGCCCCTCAGGTTTGCTCGTTGTGCCACTCAGATTTAGGGGAAAATATCATACGGACAAATTAACAGGTCTGAAACCTTCAAAAACCTCCTTACTCTTTCAGAGTACCTCTGCAACAATTGTGAAGCTTTGTTATTGGAACGCTCAACTTCCCAGCGTAGACACCTGATTGGATGAAAAGCCACCAAAGGGAGGTAATAAAATTATCGTCCCCAGCCGAGGGTACAAGCGGAAATTTTTCGGAATGTATGCCCTGGAGATTATCGAGGATGATTTGTTTGTGTCTAATGCAGGATAATATACCATAGCCAGCCGTTCCCGGAAACGGTCCCTGTTGAAGCATGCCTTAGTCCCATGTTAATACTTCTTGGATTGTAAAATACCATTAGATCTTCCCATTATTGTTTCCTTCTTTTGCACATTGCAGAGTTACATCCCTTGGGTACGCCAAAAACTGTGACAATGGGTGCGAATCCCGGTTAGCCCAGGGTGTTTCTATGTTTGTGAGCACAATATCCCAGCACTTGGGTTTCAGTAAATCTGCATCACTTTGGGTTTTCCTCCCACTTTAAAATGACACGCCGTGATTTAATTAAATTACTTTTCAAAGTCCACCTCACACTCATTATCTTGGTCATCATTTATCGAGGCTATTCACAGAGAAAATTGTCCCAACACCCACCGAGCGTTTCTGACTTGCAGTTTGATGTAGTACGGGTTCGTTCCCTGGAACTTGTATTCTATTTTGGTATTTCCAACCGGACACTGCACTGCCTGGATCTGTATATTCCAGCGTCCGTCTCCGGATACTGCGAAGTCCAGAGATCCTGCAAGCATGTATATGTTGGTCAAATGACTGAGAATTTTAGTCTTTTGACCAAATGACTGATCGTTTTAGTCATTTGACCAAATGACTGGTTTGACAGATTGACTGTAACATATATACCATGGATCGTATCTGTTTACACATCAAGGTATGTAATGGCATTCACACCTGTCGTGTATCACTCATACAAACAACTAATGTGTCTAGCATATCTATGTAGCAGATTACCCGTGAAGATCCGGGTTAGAATTGGTCTTCAGCAACCCATGCTTGTCTCCCCCTTGAAGATCCGGGTTAGAATTGGTCTTCAGCAACCCATGCTTGTCTCCCCCGTGAAGATCCGGGTTAGAATTGGTCTTCAGCAACCCATGCTTGTCTCCCCCGTGAAGATCCGGGTTAGAATTGGTCTTCAGCAACCCATGCTTGTCTCCCCCGTGAAGATCCGGGTTAGAATTGATCTTCAGCAACCCATGCTTGTCTCCCCGTGAAGATCCGGATTAGAATTGGTCTTCAGCAACCCATGCTTGTCTCCCCCGTGAAGATCCGGGTTAGAATTGGTCTTCAGCAACCCATGCTTGTCTCCCCCGTGAAGATCCGGGTTAGAATTGGTCTTCAGCAACCCATGCTTGTCGTAAGAGGCGGCTAATGGGATCGGGTGGTTAGACACACTGATCGGTGGTCAGACTTGGTTGACACATGTCAGCGTGTCCCAATTGCGTAGATCGATACTCATGATGTTAATCACTATATTGTCTGGTCCAGACTCGATTATTGAGAGACCGCCGCCATATAGCTGAAATATGCGTCCTTTAACAACAAACAAAACAAGCATCTACACTAGATATTGAGAAGCTTAGCAAGTAAGCGAATACGGCGACAGATATCAACAACTATATAACAGAGACCCCTGAGGAAGCTATCTTGTTGCGTTGATATGGTAAACCAGATGCTGATGGCAAGATCAACGATCAACAGGAGTCTCATATCAATCGAATTCATTGTATGTGTGGCATCGACCTGGCTTTTAGTCTTCTTAACATCGGTGGGTTTCATGCCGATGATAAATCTTGTGCAAATTCCACCTAACTGAAATATTTTTCTTTGGGCGTTAAACCCAATTCGATCTCTCACTCACCAGCAAGACATTCTGGACACAGGTTGTTTGCAAAGACGTAGAAATCCCCTGTGATCGGACTGTTCCCAGAACCCTTCCCAGAACCATGAACCTGGGAAATTGTATCAACTCGATCTCTCACTCACCAGCAAGACATTCTGGACACAGGTTGTTTGCGAAAACGTAGAAATCCCCTGTGATCGGACTGTTCCCAGAACCCTTACCAGAACCATGAACCTGGGAAATTGTATCAACTCGATCTCTCACTCACCAGCAAGACATTCTGGACACAGGTTGTTTGCAAAGACGTAGAAATCCCCTGTGATCGGACTGTTCCCAGAACCCTTACCAGAACCATGAACCTGGGAAATTGTATCAACATTCATAAAGCATCCATTAATGAGCATTACAATTATTTTACAAAATGCATTTATTAATTTAAAATTATTTAATGGATTAAAGAACGCAATTTCAAACGAGACGGTGTATTTTCCTAAACACCAATTATGCGTATATCATCATAGAATCATTATTTCATTTCCTAAAACCCGTTAATCCAGACAATCCTGGTTGATGTAATTCCTACCTTGAAACACATTCCGCATGCGAAAGAGTTCTGGAACTGAGGTTTGTTGAGGGCAACTTGATACTTTATTTTCGGGCTGAGGGCTGCTGGGGGGTAACTTGGCGGGTTGTACTGACACATACCTGTGTCTGTGTGTCCGTAATATGTGCCCTGTATCAAATAAATAGAAATTATAAAACGAGCGGGTGTTGAATATGGAAAATGTTCCAACGTGATATTTTGAAACGTTTTGATTTAAACAAATCAAAACGTTTGAAACATTGAGTATTCATTTCAATTTCAATAATTCCCCTGAAATTATAGGGGATACATGAAATCCCTGGGGTCACAGCGATTTCACGAAATCACTGACTCGTTTAGGGATTACGTGAAATGCCTTGTTTCACACATTCCCTGTAACATATACACTGTTAGTCAAAGTCAAAAGAGTTTATTGTATTTAAGGCCCCCGGCCCTCATACAAATATACATTTACAAATACTATACAATACGCATAACAGAGAGAACAAAATGACTAGCAATTTTAAAATGACCTTTTAGCGTATTAAATATTTTAACAGTTAGTTAGTCTTAGTCTCATACTATGTTTGATAAATAGTGACAGGTTAAGAATAACATTATCATTTTGAGAAGACATTAAGGATGCAAAGGTTGTGCAGGTGGTTATGATAAATACGGTTGTGAAATATATTTGCTTCTGAGAATGTAGTAGGATGGACAAACTAGCAATAAGTGGAATTCATTCTCAACTGCTGATTTACATAACGGACAAGTTCTCCTGTTCATTTCTATAGACATTTTTCTGCCTTCGTTTATCATTATATCTAACAAACCAAGTCTACATTTGATAAAAATATTTCTTAAATCTTTAGAATATAAAATAGACAAATATTTTTCAGGCTGAAGTAAACTTTTAAATGTCCTGTAACAATCATACTTTGAGCTGTCATAAAGCGTAGAATGTCAATCCTGATAGAACATATCAATCAATAGAATCATTTAAATTGGTTTTTAAAATTATATTAAAAGAGACTGATATTTCCACTGTTTGAAACATAGTGCGTGGTTCTCCGCTTATCTCGTCATGCAGGCGATAGATTAACATATGTCATGACATAACTGGTGGGGACACAGCATGCTGAGTTGTGTCTGGATTACCAGACATATTCAACCCTCTCCATCTGAACAATGCTTTAATGGGAGAAAATAAAGAAATTCAATCCAGGATGAGGTATCCTTTTCCCACAAAGGGACATAACTCTGCGCAACGAATAGCGGCTTCGGACCAATGGTCCCTCTTCACTGTAACATGTTGAGCCTTCACTTCTGTTCATAATTTAGTGCCGAGTCCAAGACAAGACAGACAATACTGTACTGATACAGTCAATCATGATGTCACCTACACAAGTGACATTGATAGGAGGATAAGCACAAGAGTGTGAGTGAGTGAATTTAGTTTTACGCCGCACTCAGCAATATTCCAGCTATATGTCTCTAAATAATCGAGTCTGGACCAGACAATCCAGTGATCAACAGCATGATCAACGCAATTGGAATGCGATGACATGTGTCAACCAAATCAACGAACCTGACCACCCAATCCCGTTAGTCGCCTCTTACGACAAGCATGGGTTACTGAAGACCAATTCTAACCCGGATCTTCACGGGTCGATAAGCACAAGATTCATCAACCTAACGTTTGTACATCATCTTGATGGTAATAACAACTTACATCTCCCGTGAATTTTTGTTGGAATAAACTGAGGATGCCCTGGTTTTTTGGCACCAGCTGCCAGACCAAACAACAAGACAGTCAAGTAGAACATGGCTCCAAGCGATATCTTGAAGACGCCTTATCAACCAAATATTTATATCCAAGGTTCCTGACCTTAGCCATGACCTTGTGGTCCAACTTTTGAAACTATTTATAACTCAAGGTTTATCTATTAATGACTCTTTAAAATGCATACATACAGTTTCGTGAGAGGTTATTGTAGGATACAGATGGTTCACTTATGGTAGGACTATTTCAGAACGGATGTTCTGAATTTGGTTTCGTGATAAATAGACTGCTATATAGATGAAAGGTTATTCCTGTGACGCAAAATCTTAGCTCGTGCTTGGAGTGAGTGAGTTTTACGTCGCTTTTAGAAATATTCCAGCAATATCACGGCGGAGGACACCAGAAATGCACTTCACACGTTGTACCAATGTGGGGAATCGAACCCAGGTCTTAGGCGTGACGAACCAACGCTTTGACTCATTCACAGTCGTAAGATGTATCTCAGTTTATTAAAGAAAGCAGCTGACTCATTACGTGCCATCGTTCCCAGTTTACTAACGTGTGCTACTGACACACTCTTCATTGTGATTTGTGCCAGTCGACATCTTTTTCTTGGTCACATGAACGTACCAAATTCACCAAAAGAGTCACTCTTGTTCAGCAATCTAGCAATTTGTTACGTGAAATGTAAAACATACTGACCTTATGTTGCTTAGAAGGCCATTGCGCAACAGACAGCGTCTTCTCAAAACGAACCTCCGTGCAAGTATACACGGGGTATTAGGTAGATGCCGTGAAAGCGTTCAATTGAGTGAGTGAGTTTACTTTTACGTCGCACTCAGCAATATTCAGCTATATGGCTATAACTGATTAATTACGAGCTGAACTTTAACTATCAGGCTACCCCACCGCTAGTACTCTGATGTGACTCTGAGATAACCATCACCAATACTTGTGCTCATGGCCTAAACAAAGTGGTCTTAGATTTGAACGTCTTCCACATAAAGCAGGCTTGCTATTATATAAAACCCAACTCACTCACTCCTGTTATGACCACTTCTCGACTTGGTGCAAATAATTTAGCTCAAAGATCCCACTTTCTCAGTAAGGGATACCCGAATTAGGAACATCGGGTTGGAATTCTTTAGCAGCCCATCCTTGTCGAAAAGGGCTCGGATTGTCACTCGCTTACTAGACTTTTATACCATCATAATTCCGGAGATTAATGCTCATGATGTTGATCACTGTATTGCCTGTGCCATACTCGTTTATATACAGGTGCCCTCATGTATCTGGTATATTATCTGGAATTGCTTCATGGGTATTTCGGTGAGGATGGCGCCAGACAAATAGAGACGAGTGTATAGATAACAACATTTTGAGCTTACTCGAATTAAGCAGGAATGAATAATATTGCTGAGTGAGGTGATGAATAACACCGAACCTTGGACAAAAAGAATGTGACAACTCAAATCATCTGATGAAAATGGTTGATTAACATTTTACAGGCGTTTCAAACAATACAAAAACTACCTCACTGAGAACACTTTGTGAGTGATGGTGATAGCGTGTTTGCATAATGTTGGCTGAAATGAAGCGGCTGTTTGTCAACACTCTATTCAGAACAGATATTATACCTGAAGAGTTATTATTTAATTACAAATTCCGACATAGTATAAACTGAGAATTCAACTCCCCGAGGGGATTCCTGATTAGAAACGGTGTTTAATCCATGAAATGAACACATCAGACACTGTATTAAAGTGGGTGAGTTAATATTGAACTCACTGTTCTAGAGAGATGAGTTCTGTTGTTGGTATGATTGAGTCGTCTCAACTTGTGTTTGTTGGCTCGCAACAATAAGATGAGATTAAGTGGTAATTATTAAGCATTATCAATTGTTCAATCTTGATATTGCTCGAATATTGCAGTGTTAAGCAACGATTTAATGTGCCGGAAAACGTACGTTTTGTTACAGACTGACTGACTGAGTTTTGGTTTTACGCCGCTTTTAGCAATATTCCAGCAACATCACGGCGGGGGACAGCAGAAATGGGCTTCACACATTGTACCCATGTGGGGATTCGAACCCGGGTCTTCGGCGTGACGAGCCAACGCTTTAACCACTAGGCTACCCACCGCCCCTGTTACAGACAGGATACCAAAGAGAATACGGATTGTCGGCCTAGACCTGCTACATACCATTACCATTGACACTGTCATCGGTTCCCAATTGCGTAGGATCGATGCTCATGCTGTTGATCACCGGATTGTCTGGCCCAGACTCGATTATTTTCAGACCGCCGCCATATAGCTGGAATATTACTGAGTGCGGAGTAAAACTAAACTCACTCACTCTCTCACGCACTCACTCACTCAAAGCTCATGCAGTCACGTGTCTGCGTGTGTGATTTTGTGAATATTCCCACACGCCAGCATTAAACATGTGTGGATCATGTTGTCATAGCAACTGTTTTATGTTTTGATGAACAGAGTGAATTGGAACAGAGATATCCGCCATACCTCCTAAAATTCATAGAAACGCGCGTTTAAAATATTTTATGCAGCCGAATATAATCTGGATTGGGTAAGTCGTGTTCAAGTATACAATTGCGTGATCTATGGGCATTTTATGGACAACGTGTGTGTAGCAACACACGAACAAATGCTCAAAAGGCCACGTTATATCTTCAGGTACAACAGGTGAATTAAGATTGTTTTAAAAGTGACCTTATCTCTATACAGGAGTATACATCCTTTCGATGTTGAGAACTTCTTTCGTAAATCTATTTATTTTAAACCTTGCACCAAGTCCCTCTGGCTTTGAATAATGCATTTCTCAGTGCTGTGAGCCCCGATTACACAAACATTACACCCACGTAATATGCCGACATCACAATGTTGATGCGAACAGAAAATGTAAATACGAATACGTTGAGTTTTTTACTTCAGCGTGGGTGCGGCATCGTCTTGAACTGCTTATACTTAGATATCATGCACTTGCGTTAAAATGTCATCACTGCCGTTGCCTGTGTAAATGTCAGTTTGCAATGAATAAATTATTTTGTGCCGTGTAATTGACATACTAGGACGACATTATGCAATACTCGATTCTGATTGGCTGAGAGCTCATCAAAACCGTACTTAAATGGCTGTTTGAGACCGCTATTTAAAGTGACCTATTCACCGCGTATGAATACATTGAACTCGTTGACCCTATTGTTTGTAAACAAACATTTCGGACAACGGCGATTTCTACCTTTAAATCTAAATCTTTCAACCGGTAAATGTTTAATTTAGCGGTTTTAAACCAACGATAAAGGACCGCAAAATTGAAAACAGAGTAGCTTTATGTTCTAATTTGAGAAGGGAGTACGATTCTTTCAACATTGTAATCACTGAGAAGTGATCATGATGCAAATATTGACGCTCACGTCATCATTTCTCTGGCTGGGTTGAATGTGTATTTGGTTGGGGTACTCCATATCGAGAAGATGGATAATTTAGGGTTAAAAACCTGGTTACCGTTTACGATGTTAAATGATTCTAAATAGTCGTGAAAAATACGTAATCCCGCAAGTTGTCCGGATTAACAAGTATCCGGGTTATCGAATCACAGTTAAATCTCTCTTCAACAGCAAATACCGGACTTCGGGTATCCGGAGTATCGTAGTCTGGATAAATCAGGTTACACTGTCCAGTATTGTTGCATTTAAGCGATTGTCTAGACTAACATTTAGTCTCTGTTTTTTTACAGATAAAAGAGTTTTATATTTTATTTCTTTTATTATACTCATGCCAATAATGGTTGACCGCCCCTTCCCACCCCCACCCTTATTACCTCCACACCCTCTCCAATAAAAAATTGAAGGGGACAACCATTATTGGCATGAGTATAATAAAAGAAATAAAATATAATGAAAATGAGCCCTGAGACTTTCTTCATTTTGAGAAATCTAGACTTGCCATATATTCTAGACTTGCATGGGCTTACTTAGATATATTTGTTTTAAGGTCTGTATGACAGACTATCGATGGTCCTTCTAGCTATGAAACGTCACATTGCTGAGTTAATGAGATCAATGCTGGGTGACGTCATCTATTATTCAAGGCGAAAAATATTGGCATCCTGTTATTCAAAGAATAGGTTGACTTCATTGAAGTGTGTCACCATGAATGAATTTCGTACGATGTTTTCCCTGTTTCTTGAATGGCGGTGAGTAGTATAATGTTTCAGGGGTTAACGACATTCATTGATAATAGATCATCCATAATTCCCCACAGCTGGTTATTCTGTTAATATAACATATGGGTCCAGTGTATATGGAAGATGCTTAGTAATAATGTAGGTTGTGGCATTATGCTGAAAGGGTACTAGTTACAACGTGTAGAGCGAATGAGTGAGTTTAGTTTTACGCCGCTTTAAGCAATATTCCAGCAATATCACAGCGGGATACACCAGAAATGGGTTTCACACATAGTATCCTTGTAGGAAATCGAGCCCGGGTCATCAGCGTGACGAGCGAACGCTTTAACCACTAGGCTACCCCACCGCCACTATAACCTGTGGAGCCAAGGCAAATGAACCATCAACCTTAGCAAGCATGTCAAGGAGATGTTACACTCTTAAAGGAAGAAAGTAACTGAATGCATGGGAAACTTTAAACAAAAACAACACTGCGTTCAATCACGCATGTATATTTCATATATTGTATTGACAGAAGGATGAAGGATGAGGATTGGCATGGTGATAACCGCTAGTAGTGCACGGTGATGTCCAGGTTCCGATCAGTATCTGGTTTGACTCCAGCGCGACTCCATGCCTGCACGACGTTGACGAGTCGCGTCGCGTCACATCGCTCAAGTTGACGTCAATAGAGGGAGAAATACCAGTCTCAATACAGGGAGACATACCAGTCTTCTCGGTCTAATTACCAAACGCATTCCTGATTGTATGGCCTGACACCTTCCTCAAAGTAAGGACATGCCTTCGTATCGTGATGAATGTCGAT